GATGGATGGATGGATGGATGGATGGATGGATGGATAGATGGATAGATGATGGATGGATGGATGGATGGATGGATAGATAGATAGATAGATATGGATGGATGGATGGATGGATGGATGGATGATGGATGGATGGATGGATGGATGGATAGATAGATAGATAGATAGATAGATAGATAGATAGATAGATAGGCTTCAGACTTGCAAGTGCAAGCTGGCAACAAGTGTGATGATGTGTGATTCTGTCTCTCAGTTTTCCAAACATTTTCCCTCTCCAGAGAACAAACACAGGATAGCTCTTTCTTAGTTAAAATTTGCTTTGTTTAATTGTTTCATGGCTCATCTCAGGTCTACAGGCTACGCATTGGCCGCAAGGATAGGTATAGTTTTATTGGTCCTATTCGATAACATCTGATTTTTTTCTTATCTTTTTTCTTTGTTTTACAGACAACTTTATCCCAAGACCTTCAAGACAGTCAACAGACTCGATCCACCACAACCCGCCTACCATTGAACTCTTGCATCGCTCCAGATCACCCCTCAGTGCCAATCACAGGCCTTCACCAGAATCTGAGCAGCGGTCCTTGAAATCCCCCCTGGAGAACACTATCCGTCGCCTCTCGCCAGCTGACAGGCTCTTGGGCACGCGACACCACCAGGAGAACAACCATCAAGAGTCTTACCCTCTCTCCGTGTCTCCAGTTGAGAGCAATCATTGCCCAACACCTTCAGAAGCGCTTCAGAAGCCTTCCAGTCCTCGCCAGGAAAATACTAGGGTCATTCAGTTGATGCCCAGTCCAATAATGCACCCTTTGATACTGAATCCCCGACACTCTGTTGACTTCAAAGCCTCGAGGTTGTCGGAAGATGGGCTGCACAGAGAGGTGAAGCCCATCAACTTGTCCCACCGCGAAGAGTTAGCATTCATGAACCACATCATGGTTTCCGTCTCACCCCCTGAAGAGCACGCAATGCCAATTGGGAGAATCGCAGGTTAGTACAATATGTCCCAAGTCATGGTTGTCTCTTTGGAATCCACCCCACAGCTCTCCCCAGCAGGCATGGCAGGGCTGCCGTTGCACACTTCTGTGCCTTACATAGATACTTGTGCTTCCCTGGCTTCTCCTAAAAGTGTAGAATGAGCCACAAACTGGAGGCAGGATCATTCAAAGTAAGCCAGGGACACACTGTAGTAGATTTCAGAGGGACCTATTTATGAAGGCGGGCATTTTTAGGGTGCCATCGAGGTGAGCAGATCTTGTCGGTGGACCCTATTTCCTAAGATATTCTCCTTCAGAAGCCCAATTTTATGTTGTAATGATAAGGCAACTTCAGTGTGCATGATGCCCCATTTGCACTTTCTACTGTCTACAGCCCATCCGTGTTTTGAACATGGTTCATATGGTTATAGCTTTATACTGTAAACAGAGGGGGAACTGTAATACCAAGCTGCCCTTTTTTAAACATGCAAAGTGTGAAGCAGTGTGACAATTGGGATGACTCTTTAAGGAGCGGCAACAGTTGCCACAACAAGAAAGGGGTGTGGACGCCACCCTCTCTCTGGGTCACTCCAAAAGTCTTCCAGTTGCGCTGCACCAAACCTGTCTTCTTGATGTGAATACGCAGGTACATCAAGGAGACACTTGGTCATGATCCAGCATCATGGATTCTGGTTACTATTCTGAGTCAGGATTGGCCAACATTTCTTGCTCTCAGAGCTACTTTGTTCTCCAAATGGTGGTCATGGGCTTGGATTGACCAGCTGTGCATTAAATTGGGGACCATCTTGCAGGAAGCGTTATACAGTTATGGAGCACAGAAACTGATGCACAAAGAAACCACAAGGACTGCAGCAGAACATGGTGATCCTCTGTGAGGAAGTCATCTGCTCAGTCCCCCCCTTTCCCAAACTTTCACCCTATTTTCTATACCTCTCCCCCCC